CTTCCCAAGAATGGCATATTGCATATTTGTGTCTGTAGTGCAGATTACTTGGAAAGAGAGTTAAGCAGGGTCTTAAGCTCAGCCAGACTCGATTCACATTCCTGAGATTGTTGCTAATTTGAAGCTTTCACTCTGGTTAGTGATGGCATGAGGAAATGCTATCTTCTAGGACAGATTGTCCATTCTCACGTTAGCTGCAGTTTATTACAGATGTTCTTTTGGTAGTCATTAAGAATAGCAAAAGTCAATATATTTTCTCTACCAAAAATATGCTGTGTTCTTACTTTTATTGTTCCTGGTAGGAATTTCTTATGGAGGAAGGAAAGTTGTTTTTGTTTTTTGTTTTTTTTTTTTTCTGCCAATTTAAGGTTCAAGCAAAAGAAGTTATACTTATGAAATAGTCAACCAGAAGAGTTTTCAGTTCTCAGATTCCTATAAAGCCTCCCAGCATTTGAACTGGTTTTGCAGAAGGTTCTATAAAACTTCCCTTTTGGGCATGAATCTTCTTACGTATACATTTAATTATGTACATATATGGTGTGTTCTATCTTTGTGAAGGGGTGACTTAAGCTGGCAGGTATGTGTCTGAAGAATTAGTTTCTGGGTGAGGCACTACGTGACTATTCTTGGGTTGGAAATCTTGCTCGCACCCAGAATTAATGATCTTGAAGACAAAGATGGATAGACCTAAAATATTAAAAGCCTTTTAGTACTTAGCTCTGTTTGCCAAACTTGAGAAACTCAGAGAACCTCAAATGTATGCTTATTTTAATCAACACCTGGGCAAAGCCCTTAACATTTATATTTTTTTAACATGCATTTTGTACATCAGGTATGATTGTTTCTTTACTATATGGAGTTTCATAAAACGTGCCCTTTGAAGGTCTGAGAGGACAGTAAGAAAGGACCTTGGAACAGTGCTGTGTGTTTGACGTTTCATACAGTATAAGAGAAATGAAATGTGCTGATACATCTGAGAAGTTCCATTTTCATGAAGCATATGCCATACACTGAGAAAGAGTTTTATTTGACAAGGAAAGCTCAGTACCTAAACTTGCTGAGCTTTAACTGTGTATACTATATGTACATATGTACTATAGTACATTCTCTAGGTGTGCCTGTCAGTACATGTTTATGTATTGGCAGTTGAAGTTAAGTAAGTTCATATATAGGAAGAATGTTTAGCTCTCTTTCTTGTGGTGCTTAGTTCTACATTTCCTCTGGAAGCTTTTCAAGGGCATCTTAAGAAAAAATCTACAGAAGTTCTTTTTTGTTTCTTCTGTTTAACTTACCATGGTATTTTGAGACTTTTCTGGAGGGATGTAAGGATTAGAGGCAGGTACTGTTCCTGTTTTATGGGCTTACTTTTTGCTCTTTAGTGTCACTTCTGACTCCCCATGTTGCTTCTCACTTCACAGGAGCATTCTTGGAATTCCTCTTCTTTTTTTTTTTTCATGGCCTGTGAGTTATCCCACACATGCCTATGATTACACCATGCGCTTTTCCCACTTCGCTTTCCTTACTTCCTTTGTGCAGTGGCATGGACATTATAGGGAACCGTAGGGAAGAATTCAGTGTGCTTAAACAAGAGTAAACACTGATATTACACAGGAGTTTGATTTTTGAAGGACTTGCTTAGCTGATTAATTGTTAGGTTTTTCCTTACTAGAAGAGTTATTTTATATTTCTATAGGATTTAAATTTTTTATTCTGAAAAAATAAAGATATTAGACTTTTCAGCCTAATATTAGTTTTAACCATAACCTATCAAAAACATCTAATGAAGACGTGGTCTTGTTATTTTTTATGACAAATTGCCCTTGTAGTTAGTGGTTAGGCAAATTAGCTTATAACTAATAAATGTGGAGATTATTTATTTCTACCTTTGGACGCTCTTGTTGATCTAAAAGCAGCACTCTTCATTAGCAAAAGTAATAGGACTGGATCAAAATGTCACTCCTAATTAAGTCTTGTTAAAGCTCTTAAAAATTACCTCTTTCAGTCAGCAAGTAAGGTGGTTTGTTTCTCATGAACTTTTACACTGCGTGTGTATTTTCATTCAAAATGTAAAACCAAATGAAACATGTCCATGAGAATTCCGTTTAGCTTGTGAAATCTGTTTCATTTTAAAATCAGGCCAAAGCCTACATTTTGCAGGTATTTGGATATACCCACTAAACACAGAAGCCAGCTCACTAGATTCTTGTAAACAGGAGCCTCCAGCTTGACAGAGGGCTGAAGACAAAGCCAGATCTCCTTTGTGGCCATAAAATGGGTGGGGGAGGGGAATCACAGTACACAAAGGGAGGGGAATTCTCTGCAGCCACGTGGTGATTCCCTAAATGCTGAAACCATTTCTCTAGATTTTCCTGGTAGTCCCAGTTGTAAATGCTCTAGCATCTTTATACTTCTCCAACTGCCTTTCCTGATTTGGGGATTTGGAAAATACGATCTCCATCGTTAGAAAGAATCTGAGATTAGCGGTAAGCAGTCTTATAACCTGGACCTCGCAAGTTCAGGTCTGATTGAAGCTGGAAGTATCTACAGAGAGATAGTTGTCTTACTTGATGTAAGTGATTTTCAGGAAAGGAAATCTCTGAAGCCTGTTTCAGTTTCTGATAATGCTAATTGCTGGGGAGTTCTACTTCAGGTTTCGGGGCAGGTCATTTCTTGTGAACTGTGAAGAGCAGAGGAAAGAAACCTTCACGCAGAGGTCAGGTACTTGGATTTCCCCCTGTGATTTGGAATTTTCTTATTGCATGTTTGGGAAGAAATTCCCAAATGCTGACAGCAGAAATTGTGTAACAGACCGTGGACATAGAAACAGGAAAGGTTGGAATTGAGAAATTCTGAACTTCATAGAACTAACAAACACGGAAATACCAGTATGTCCATATATCTTCTTAAGCCATCTCATTGGTGATTCCTCTCAAACATGTTTAAATTGGTGAACTCTTTGTGAATTCTTCTCTTAATCTTAGAGTCCTTTGAGTTGCTAAAAAGGCAGGCACAGCTTGTCATGTACAGAGACAGCCTCATTCTGATCTGCCTTAATATTTGAAATGACTTGATTTTCTAACACTAAAATCTTTAAGCTTTTGGAAACTATCTTTCACTTGGCAGCCTCTGCTTCATCAGGGCCCTGTTTCCAGATGTGGTTAGGGAGTTGCTGCAGCTCAAGAAAAATCCTGGTTTAGATTGTTTTTACTTGTTGACACTTTTCTTTCTGATTCCTAGAGCATTCCTTCTCCCTGTTTAGCCAACACACCTGGCTTGAAGCTGTCACTCTGCATCCCTGATGCAGCCAGTGAGAAGGCCATAGTGTTACCCAGCGTTCCATAGTGAATCTCAGGGACCCAGAAGAGACTGGGAAAAAAGAGCACCTCACCCTAACACCAGTAACTTGTGGATCACAAGAGCAGGCTCCTGAAAATTTCTGTTTCGATAAAAATGGAAAAGATTATTTTAAGAGCTTTGTAGTCTTTCTCCTCCTGACTTTGACTGTGGAGGTTTTGATTTATCAGGGGACATGTCATGTTTTCCTGCTAGAAAGGGAAAGTGATGTCAAAATGAAATTGGGTTTCAAACAGACTTTGGTGGTTTAGATTTTCTTTCTCTACCCTGGAGTCAAATACTAGTAATATATTTCTTAGCCTAGTAAAATGATTGTTTTTTTTTTTTAATGTTCTACTTGTGAAATGCCAGGATACTGAGAAAAAAATAAGTAGCTACTGGCAAGCTTTATTTAATTTTATAGTCACACCATTTTATAATTATTGGCCTCATGTAATTGCCCGGTCTTTGGAATTCTTAAGGAAATAGAAGAACTTTCCTAAAACACTAGAGAGTTCTGTGGTTAAGACAGTTGGCTGGTAATTTGAACCTTTGGAGTCCCTGGGTGGTGCAAATCGTTAATGCACTTGGCTGCTAACTGAAAAGTTGGCAGTTTGAGTGTACTTTGGAAGAAAGGTCTGGCTTCTGAAAGACCAGCCATTGAAAACTCTGTGGAGGACAGCTCTACTCTGACACACATGGGGTCACCATGAGTTGGAATCAACTGGCCGGCAGCTGGTTTTTTTTTTAAGTTGAACCTTTGGGGGCCCTGGGTTTAACTTGGGCTGAGATCCTTGAATCATGGTTCACTGTCACTGTCAGATACAGAACTGTGTAAAAAAGTGACATGATCCCACATGGCATTTATTACATTCTTTGCTTGTAACAGGAAGAAAGTCTGTGTAAGGTTTGAGGATAAGTTTTAGTACACAAGCTCAAAGGTCAATGGCTTATCCAAACTTGTAACTTTGAGATAGGGCAAGGGCGTAGATGTGGTTTACTATGATTCGCTTTGTATAGCTAAACTGACCCTTTTCTTCCCTTGCTCGTTCACCCCTGCCTTTCCATCTCAAAGTAGTGTTGAGTTTTGGTCTCTGTTCCCAGGCAGTGACTCAGTTTATGGTGCTTGCTACCACTCAGCTTTTAACAATGGCAATAACAACAACACAACAGTAATAATCATAGTTAATACTTATTGATCCCTTATTAAATGCCAGGCACCGTCTGGGTTTATTTAATCCCAGGGAGATACTCTTGTCGTCTGTATTTTATGAATGAAGAAACCGATGCAGGGAGTCTTAAAGCTAGCTACCCTGTGGCCAGTCAGTGGTGGAGATGGACTTGCATTCAACGCCTGGGATCCCTGGGGAATCTCACTGGGTACCTTTGAGCTCTAGTGTTTGAACCTTGCAGATTTCAACTTCAGATCCTGGCCCTTCCCCTTGAATTCAGGTCAGATACAGTGAGGATTTACTTATTTTCTGGTAGAAAGGAATGTATTACTAACCCGGCTTTTGTTTGTTTGCATTCTTTTGCAAGGATTAAGGGTAGCAGGAGTGGAGCTGCGATGTGACGTTTCAAGGGATTAAGCTTGAAAGGGTAGAATTAATGCATGATAGGCAACAGGATTTTCATCTGAAAACTTGTGTCTCTTCGTTTTCTCGCAGGCTCTCCTTACTATGACAATGTCCGGCCCCTTTCTTACCCGGATTCTGATGCTGTGCTGATTTGCTTTGACATTAGTAGACCAGAGACTCTGGACAGTGTCCTAAAAAAGGTAAGTGTGGGGGACGATGGCACAGCTCAGTGCTGGACGGCATGTAAAATAGAAACACGTGGTTGGCTGGGCAGCTCAGGTTCTCTAGGTAATACCCTGCCTTGTGGTTTGTACTTTAAACACCAAAGAGAACAAGCTCACAACAAAACAAGGATTCCACTCATATGTGTCCCTAGTTTTGATGATAAACCTGCTAAAAATTTTATTTCATAAAGCTGTGAATCAAAATACCTTTTTAAGAATTTTCATGTTCGTCCTTTTGGGATAAATGACACAGTTTAAAGTAGTTATTTTTGACTACTGTCATACATGTTTTCCTTCCTCCCTCCCTTTTATCCTCTCTCCCTCCCTTTTACCCTCCCTCCCTTATTTTCTCCTTCCTTTCATTTCTTCTTTCCTTTTTTCCCTCCTTCCCTCCCTCACTTCTTTCCTTCCTTTATTCACTTATTCTTTCCTTCACGCAACAGATTTCACCTTAGTTTACATGTTTACATTTGACCCCAACTCAGATATTGAAATGAATGCAATAATAACTATTTTAATATAGACACTGTGTTTCATTAAGAGGTTTGTATTAGAAACAGAAATGGAATAAATACAGGAGGAATAGGGGTGTGTTCCAGACCTCAGATAAGGTAAATTATGATAATAAAAAAAAATTATGGTAATAAAAACCCAGGCCAACCACATGGATGTTTCTCGTCCTCACATTCCTACGGCACCCTGATGTGGTCACACAGGTAACCACTCAACCACGTCCTCTATCTAAAATCTTAGTGTAAAGAGAAGAGGGGGTGATCTAGGAAGTGTCTGATTCTCAAATCCCACAGCACACAGGCCAGGGCTGACATGCTAGTGAATAGCTAATAAATGTTAATCCATGACTAACATGTGACTTCTATAAGTACTTGCATATGTCATATACTAATAAACACAGCAGTAGTAAACATGTTATAAATTACAAAACACATACCTAGGGTCCGAAGGCTGTAACACAGGTGAGGTTCTGTAGGTGGAAAAGGGACCTGATGAAGCTCTGGAAGGAACCAGGCAGAAGTCAGGAGGAAGGGTCCAATTACAGGGTGGTCACAGGTCCTAGGGGAGGCTCCTGGGAGAGAGGGAAATTCCTTGGCCAGGGTAGTTATAAGTACTTCTATAGAAGTCACACGTTAGTTGTGGATCAGCATTTATTAGCTATTAACTATCATGTCACCCCTGGCCTGCGTGCTGTGGGATTTGAGAATCAGACACTTCCTAGATCACCCCCTCTTCTCTTTACACTAAGAGTGAGATAGAGGACGTGGTTGACTGGTAACCCGTGTGACCACATCAGGGTGCCATAGGAATATGAGGATGAGAAATGTCCATGTGGTTGGCCTGGGGTTTTTTTCCTCCCCATTTGGTTTTCATTTTTAGTGGAATGTGTTTGTATCTTGTGTGTTCTCATTAGTTTATATTTTCCTATTGCATGTGACTACTTGTCTCCTGTGTCATTATGAAGTCAGTGTTTGAAGATGAACCATGCCCTTGTTTTTATTAAACATTACAAATACAGCTAGTTTGATGAAATATGAATTTCGTCACATCAAAGGATCTGTTTTGCTTTTTCATGCCTTTCAGTTTTGAGTAATGTAGATCTAACACAAATCATGCTAAGGTTTGTCAGGTTCGGGCAGGAAGACACCTTTCTTGTCTTTAATGCTTGTAAACAATTGCTAGACACGCAGCAAGAGGCCAGAGTCGTACAGCTGAAGAACAACATAACAACATGCCTAGTTCTTGTCTGTAGATAAAAGAGATTGCTTATTTACTGGAGTTTTTACTTGATGTCTTATCAGGTTATGCATAATTTATGGTGAAAAGCCTTGCTCCTGTTTTGTTTTGCTTTTGTCTTCTAAGTCCAAAGGAATAGTGACTTTGGCCTTACAGATATTAATGAGTGTGCTTTACATCCATGTGAGGTTTAAGGCTCATGATAACCCCTGCTATGGTTTGTCTTGATTAATTGAATCCTTTTAAGTCCTTGAGTATCAAAGAGGTTAGAGTGGTTTAAAGCAGGAAAGATTTCGTATTCTTTTTTTTCAATTCACCTTACAGTTCTAACACCAGTGGCACCTAGCATGTGGTAGATGCTTCTAAATAATTCTAGAAGGAAGGAAAGAAAGAAAAAGAAAGGAATGGAAGAAATCAGTGAACAAATTAGACTCATGTGGAAAGTATTACTGTATTCAGTCGACTTTGGAATTGTGTACTTTGAACTAGAGTTCATTGCCCCAGAACACACCTATAAATCCAGAGATATCTCCCCCGGTGGTCTTTTAAATTACTCCTGCAGGGTTTCTCTCTTATCTAGTATTGTACTTACATTACATACATGACTTCATCACCTCCACTATTCTGTAAATTTCTTTCTGGAAGACACTAGCCACCAGTTGCTGTCATATTGACTCTGACTCGTGGTGACCCCATATGTGTCAGAGTTGAACTATACTTCATAAGGTTTTTAATGGCTGTTTTTTCAGAAACAGATTGCCACGCCTTTCTTCCAAGATGCTCCTGGGTGGACTCAAACCTCCAGCCTTTCGGTTAGCAGTTGACCGTGTTAACCATACGCACCACCCAGGGACTCTTCTGGAAGACACCAAACCAAAAAACCCATTGCCATAGAGTCGGTTCTGACTCATGACAACCCCACGTGTTACCAGCACAATGCTTAGTAGGAAGTTTAATGCCTATTTGTGAATGTGGATGAGAACAGTCAGGCGCCACATCCCCATCTCAGCCCCACTAATTTCTCCTTCCGCTTGCCTGTGAACACCCTTGACCCGACTCTCATTCTGATAGGGTCTCAAGCTTGAGGAAATGCAACCACAAAAAGTTGTCCATTTGCTCTTTTAGAGAACAATTGGAATTCTCTGGCTACGTATTTCTGGAGGCCCTAATAATTCTTTTTAGGTCAATAAACAACTAGCCAAATTGGACAAAATTGAAGCATTTAACCAATTATGTAACTTAAAACTAACTCGAGCACATGAGGTACAGGAGCCAGATGTCTTCCTTGATAGCCCAGGAGATGAAATCTTTGCAGATGTCATGGTCTTTGTTGATTCAGCCACTTGAAGCTCCTTGAAGGCAGAGAGTTCTGTTTTGTTAACTGTGCTTCCAGTACCTAAGTAGAGTCCCAGCACATCTTTGTTGATGGAATCGGTGAATACATACTTGTGCTTATGTTAGCTCTGTCTTATTCCCAGACTTGCACACTAGGAAGTACCAGCTCTACACAGCCGAGGATATAGTCACTTGTTGGGATATATAATTATTCCTAATGCACTTTTATCTTTCAGAAATATCCCAATAATTAAGAAATGTTCAAAGTACCTTCTGACAATACCCAGCAAGTCTCTTGCACTATGCACAGATAATGGAGCCACAGGGAGAATAGATGATAATAGACATCCAGATTCCCTAATGGATCCACATTTAACAAGAAGTAAAACTTAATGTCTACATAGAAGATAAATGCGAGTTTGTTTCTTCATTATTCAGATGCCAGCACATTGTTAATTTTTCGGCTCTTTTTGTTTGTTGGTTTTTTCATAGTGGAAAGGTGAAATCCAGGAGTTTTGTCCCAACACCAAAATGTTGTTGGTTGGCTGCAAGTCTGACCTGCGGACAGACGTTAGTACGTTAGTAGAGCTCTCAAATCACAGGCAGACGCCAGTGTCATATGACCAGGTATGTATGTTGTCAATGTGCAAATGAGATTTTAAAAAGAGTGAGAGAAATGGAATATCACTCATGGTGAATTGAATAAAAGTCAGCTGCTTCTCAAAGGGATCAACCAATAGTCAACTCCAGGTTAAAGATCCTTTACTATGGAGCAGAATGAGCACTGTGTGTCCAGACTGTGACCATCTGTAACCACAGATTGAAGGATGCTAGTGTTTCTGTGCCTGTGCCTTTACAGTGAGCATCTAAGCAACTCCACGCAGTCCTAAGCTCAGATTACTTTTAAGACTACAGAGTGAGCACCAAGTGATCCTGGTACAAGGTGTGGCTGAAATTAGGATGATATTTTGATACTGGATCCCGTCAAAAATCTTCCCAATACTTTTCAATGACTGACTGTATAAGAATTCATATGTGTGTGCATAAATAAGACAAATTGGTAGATATGACGTAAAATGTGAAACACTGTCTCATTCAGCAGCATAATTATGCACTATTTCATCACTGAGTACATAAGTAGTTGTTCAAATGCTACGCTTGTATATCTCTCTAAAACTCCTACTGGGTTTAAATTTAAATATTGAATTTAAGAGAGAATGCGGTCAAAATCAGTAATGCTCTTTAAGAGGGTTAATCTTATTTTACAGTCAGTTGCACAATAAAATACTAAAAAAAGCTGTTGCCAGTAAAGTAGAACACTCCATAAAACCATCTTTTAGAGACTCATCATTTCTGCAGTCATTTCCCCAAGTATTTAGATAGGAGGAGAATCAAAGTCCTGCAGGCTTCTTTGTCTTGCATGTCTAATTAACAAAAAGTGGTTACTTAAATAAGTCATTTTAATGCTCATATGCTTATTATTGTGCATATTGGTTGTATTGTTCATGTTTAGGAATTATTTTGTGTCTCATAAAGTTCTAGAAGTCCTATCAGTATTTGGGCCCTAAGACACAATCACATAAATTTCAAAATTGATTCTAAATTCCATCGCTTACGCCTGGTTTTTTGTTTTACAACTTATGGACTAGTTTTGAGTGCCATTTAAACTCAAGAAGAGAGAAAATGAGTGTCCTGTGAGGTGTTGGAGCAGGCTCGACAGGCCAGATCTCCCTGCCAGAGCCATGTGGAAAATTTATAATTTACGTTCATGATCTTCAGCTGACATTTCAACTATAGGGTGTACTGGGTAATTCTCTGCTTTGCTTTGACCTGGAAGACTTAAGCCTCAGGTTACTCTTGGTTACAGCTGATAGTGAAGATGAGTCACTTCCTTAGGTCCTCTCCTACTTCTCTGAATAACCTCTTCCTGAGTATTTAATGATCAGTCACCCATTTAAAGATGGCCCAGTGACGCTAGATTATCTTTTACCACCTCTGAGGAATCAAGAAGTATTTATTGAGTCATGATAAATGTCACAGCAACACTTGGAAAAAGCAGCTAACACATTAGAAACCATTTTGCGATGCATTATTATTTTCTGCTATTAGAGGGCACTTTGCAACTTTCCCCAAAGATATATTGCTGATTAAAATCCCTTCTTTTTCTTCTCAGGGGGCAAATATGGCCAAACAGATTGGAGCAGCTACTTACATTGAATGCTCATCTTTGCAGTCTGAAAATAGTGTCAGAGACATTTTTCACGTTGCCACCTTGGCGTGTGTAAACAAGACAAATAAGAATGTTAAGCGGAACAAATCACAGAGGGCCACAAAGCGGATTTCACACATGCCTAGCAGACCAGAACTCTCGACAGTTGCTACGGACTTACGAAAGGACAAAGCCAAGAGCTGCACTGTGATGTGAATCTTCCATTATCTTTAATGAGGACAAGAGAATCTAGTGTAAAAAAGAAAAAAACAAAACAAAACACCAACAAAACAAAAAGGTGAAGTCTGAATGAAGTGCACCACCGAAGTCCCGTATACTGGAGGCTTAGGAGGCGTTTGAAAGGATGCCCATCTTTTTGGAATCCTGTCCTTAGCTTCAGCATGTAGACCAAGTGGTGGGAAGTGAATACATTGAAGAGTTTTGAAATGTGACTTGAAAAATATGCCAAAAAAAAACGAGAGATTGAAATGGGCTAGAGATAGATGAGGAGGAAAGCGAGTACCTCCAAGAAGAAAAATAACACTCTGAATGGTGCTTGCATTTTTCTTTGTTACAGTCTATTCATGGATCTCTACTTTGATTTAATTTTTAAATGTTTTAATCTCCTTTACAAAAAGCATATATTAATATACCATCCTCATTGGGGAACTGCCACTGTGACCTTAGCGTTTAGTTTTCTAGAGGATGTGATCTAATTTCCTCCTAGCTCATCATTAAAATGGAAATTGTATCAGGACCCATGGGGTATCTGAAGAAAAACTTTATGAGGCTTTGAAATCTTGCCTTCCTGAAGATAGCTGAGTGAGATGGTTCTAAAGAAAGGCTTTTGCAGCCTTGCAAGATATGCAGACCAGCACTACAAAAATCGAATAGATCTAATAGAAAAAAAAAGTGTCAATTTTTATTCAGTCTGATGGTTCTGTTCATCATTGTGATTGTCATTAAAAAGTGGTAAATTGCTCAATGTAATATTTTTGTGCTCTGTTTAGAAAAGAGGGTGTGTGATTTTTTTTTTGCCATCGTTGATAAAAATGCAAAGTCAAATGAAAGGTGTCTTGGTTTGATGTCATAGAATGATCCAAGGTGGGGAAAAAAAAATGTAGGTACTATTTTCACCAGAAGAGATAATGAATGAAGGAATAGTAGCAGAAAGCACAGTTTCTGAGTAAAGCTGTCTAGATTTAAGTCACCAAAATGCAAAGCAAAAGGCCTATTATACATTTTACTTGAGATGAAGCTCCAAAATTGGCAGCATCTGATCACATATTGGTTTATTTCACTTTCTTTAAATGAACATCCATAAGAGAAAGACCTGCTTACACAAGTCTTAGGGGACCCCTAGGGGGAAATTATATATTGTCAGCCCTGACACAATACCAGGACATTTCTAGAGAGTGATTGTTAGACCTCACCTAACCAGAGTCAGCCAAGGCCTGTGTTCAATACTTGACTGCTGTTGTTACACAAAATAATCACCATTTAAAATAGTTTACAGATATTTTTTTTTACCAGTTCTTTCTAGAGTTTCTTTCAGAGAAGAAACCAGATCTGACCTGTTTGTTGGCGCTTGTTGAAAACGAGCTTTCTTTCCAATGATAATGCTTCATTTTTGAAGTGTTAAAGCTGTGCTCCCATTAAATTGTGGCAGGAGAGGAGATTAAGGTAATTACAACACTCAGTTGTATGTGTTACAAGCACTTTGTTGTCTCTGCAAGAAAATACCATTCCAGTCATTTCCCATGAAATACAGACATTTTACCAACATAATATGCTTTGACTGATGCAGCATTATGCTTTGGGCAGTATTACAAAATAGCTGGCAAGTGCTTTCTGTATTTAAATATTGTAAAAAGAAAATAAGTTATAACTGTTATCAAACAACTTTGGTTGCATTTTTTTTTTTTTTAATGTTGAGGTCACTTTGTATGTTTGTTTGGTCAATATTTCTGCAGTATTTATTAAAACATACTTTTCTTCAAATAAAAAAGTAACCATGTCTTTGTCTACATGTGATCTGTCTTTTATTATCTACTTCCCGAGTTAGCTGTTCAGTGTTCTTTATTAAAGATGACTACTGAATCGCACCTAGCATTTCCTGAACTCTAGTAGACTTTGGAATTTTTTTAAGTTCTTTGCAGTAGTAGTAGTTTCTTGGACAAAGATAAATAATATATGTAAAAGGTTTTCATGATGATTTCAAAGAACAAGAAGAAAAGAAGCATAATTAGACTAAGCGATTTGATAATAGGCAAACCCATAGTACTGCCTACGATTAACTTAGAGAAAATAGGGAAATTGCTGGAACTCAAACACTGAAACAGTACAGTGTGCTCTCAGATCACAGGTTTAATTCTGATGTGAGCCTAGTTTGTTTCACTTTCGTCTAGAGCCTGAATCTTGGCCTCTCACCCAGCCATCTGTCTTGCAACCCATATTCGGTTTGTAGTGGTCAACTGTGTAGATGGCCCAGAACCCAACCATTGCAACAAGTAGGAGGAGGGAAAAAAAGCAAAGCACAAATGACCTTGCTTACGGTAGCATGCATCTTCAACACAGGACAACATAAAATGTGGTTCCCAATGGCCTGAAAAACCTAAAGTAAGCATGGAATAACTTTGGACCAGAAGAGGCCTAGGTCCCTATAAACTTAGTTTATTCTCATTTTTTAGTTAAAACTTTTACAAATTGCACATAAACTTCCAGAGATACTCCATGTGGGCTTTATAAACTCAGTGATTCTTTATATACAGCTAAGCACTTCATTCAAATAAAAACCATCCTTGTGACTTATTTTTTTTTAAATGACGTTTGAAATAGTTGAGAATTAGTGCTCAGAAGCTCAAAGCAAAGGGAAAACCAGAAGATCAGGCATGAGTGAACAAATTAAAGAGCATTGACATCAGGCCTAACCTTATCAAAAATTTTAAAAAGACTAGAATTACCAAAAATGACTGTAACTCATTCTTGTGATTGGCAAGTACTAAAGGGAATAAGATCACTTTTCTAATACTTGGCATTGAGTAACTTCTATGCATAATGTCTAACTCAGGCTTGCAAGAAACTTGTTTCTCAGCAATGACTAGCACAGAAAAAATTGCTGCGGTTCTGCTGACCTTGGCAGTATTTGATAAGTTGTACAGTAATCTTTCCCTCCGGTGAATTGTTAACCAAAAAAAAAGTTCGTCTGCAGCCTTAGGCATGCAGGCCTGCCTTGCCTTTTCTGACTTTTTGCTTCAGCAAACATTTATTCTGAGCATTCTCTGAACATTCCTTCCTATTGATTAATGATCATGATTAATGCCTTTTTAAATACGAAGAGATGGTTTTCAAACTCTGAGTAAGACTTTAACTACTTTTCTTACATCTATTAATCTTTCCAGGAATAGTTGCTTAGAAAAGTTTCGTCATATAGGGAATGTGCTTTGAATACAAACTAACAACTATCCCAGGGAATTACTTTTTTATCAGAAGGACTATTAAAAGTCACCTCATCCCCTGAGACTCCCGAAACTCTTAAAATAGCTTGCTGTCTTTTCGATGGATTATTCTGACATCAGCATTCTCTTTGAAACCTTGCAGAATTAGTTTATTTGGTCATTCTTCCATTCACCAAATATTTTTTGAGTGCCTACTGTGTGCCCAGCACTTTTCTAGGCTATCTTTTCATGCCAACATATAGTCATGAAAAAAACCAAGTCCCTGCCCCCAAGAGCTTATACTGTAATAGAGAAAGACAGTCACAAACAAATAAGAATGCACCATGTCAGGTTGTGATCTCCATGAACATTAACTGCATTGTAGATACTATGTTGTTGTAAGCATATCAGTGTGTAGAAAGGTACGCCAATGCAATAACCACACGTTACAGCACACTTATAATGCTGTAATATGATGGTGCAAAAAGGAATTTTCAAATGCATCCCAAGAGCTGGGGTTTGTTTATGGTGATTGTGGAAGAACAATGTGAATGATGGGATGCCAGTCACCACTGTAGTATTTACGTGATCACCTAAATTTTGTGGCTGGTTGGAGGTCTAGCAGAGAAAAATATTCCTCCACAACTGAGTATAAACAGCCCCTAACCAGTCTTCTGTTTGTTATAAAATGTTCTGGCATTGCTATGGACTTGTACTTTCTTTATCCTGTGAAATCTTCAATTGCTGAGCATATTGGAAAAGCACAAAATGAAATAAAGTATTGTAATTCAGTTACAAAATAAAAATAACTCTCAGGGGATTACAAAAAATCCGAGGTAATTATTAACAGCACTTCGGGTGAAGACGGAGAATCCATCATTTCTCTAATGTTGAAAACATATATTTCATATATTTTTAAAAAAAATTTTTTCTAAATATCCAGTGATAATAAATTCTAAGGCTCTTTGCCTCTGCCCACTCTGGGAACACAGGAAACAAATTTTAGTAAACCCCAAGACAAAAATTTCTAAGACTGGCAAAGCCATTTCACTCCTCGGGATTTTATTTTTGGATTTTTTTTTTTTTTTAAAGCAACTGCTTGTGCCTTTCTTCCATCAACACTGAGGTGAGCTCTATTTTAAAACAAATAAATGAAAAAAGCCATTTTGCAACTAGAAATGAAAACTAGATCAGTATATGGTCAACACACTGTCAAAGTAATAGCTAAAACTTCAATTGCACAAATTAAGTACCAGGCACTGTTCTAATTTAGGGAATGACAGAATGCCAGTCATCATTGTAGATTTACAAAAAGACCTTAAATTTGTGGCTGGTTGAAAGACCAGTGGGAAAAAAAATATTTCTTCACAACTGAGTATAAACAGCTCGCCACAACTGTACACAGTAAGTTAAGTATCATGAAGTTTCTTATTTTACAGATGGGGAAACGGAGGTATCTTCTCCAAGGTCACATAGCTAGTATGTGGGAGAGCTGAGATAAGAAGTTCAGACAGGGCATTCTGGCTCTGCAATTCCATGCTCTATGCCATGACCTCATCCTGCCATAGATAAATATTTCACGTGTACAGCGCATGCGAGGTGAATACCATGTTAATACAGCTGCTCTCTGAGCCAGAGTGTGGTTGGTTGCATTCACCCTGACCTCTCCAAGTCTCTAGGGTACTCTTACTAGCACTCCCCATGATTCTGATTACTTCTTGTCTCCCGTCACTCTCCTCCCCCTTCTTTCCCTTCTGCCTGCCCCTCTGTATTTACTCTGCTTCTTCAATGGTGAGAGCATTATCAGAGGTCAATGAAAGGACCCATGGATGGTTGACACACATAGCCTCTTGAACTGTGATAAAACCAAGAGTTTCCACAGCAATTGTTCTAAAAACCTTCAACCTAAAATGGATACTATAGATGTCAGCTTTGACACTGACTACTGGGCAACTACTAAGTTGTTTCTAATTCTTATCTGGGTTGGACAGGTATAAATGATAGCATAAATGATGGTGAAAGGCAATCAGCTACATTATCCACATTTTCCTGACTGTAGGGTCCTTATTTTGAGAAGCCAGTTACAGAGGAAGCCTGCTTCATTCACTTTTAGGCTCCAAAATGTGAGGCCCAGTAAATCGCTGTCTAAAGATGTTGAAGGGTAGCTAAGAGTTACTCCTATGTAGGGGGGTGACCCAGTCCTAGGGACAGGGATGGGCAGAAGAAACTTGACTCAATTCAAGGTAGTCATTCCCATCTATTAATCATCATAAGGGACAGAGCTGAGAGAGATACAATAGGTGACTTGTCATCAGGATTGTGAGGCAAGGGTCTTCTCCGGTTTAAGTGCCGTTGTACACTTCTGGAAAAGAAATTTGTTCCACTTCCATGTTTATGTAGTTCCCAAACTGCTCAGCCCCTGCACTTTCATCCACTTATTGCCTAATAGGGTCAAGTGATCATTTCTAATCATTTTCTCATCTTTCTTCAAACGTTCTGTGGAAAGAAGATCAAACGCAAGCAATCAATATGACTTTTATGGTCTTTTTAACATCGTCAAAAGTCTAAACAATATGGACTTTCTTGGTTACTTTATGACCAGTTTCTCCTCCATTTGCGACTGTGGACCTCTAGATCTCTTCTTTCCCAGATAGCAGACCCTCAGGGCGTCTTAAAATGACCCAACTCTTACCTCTATGCGGCCGGGACTATGTTTTCTTCACCAATGTACAGCGGAACCTACTACAGTGCCTGGCATGAGTTTCAATGAGTTAAGTAATCAGTTAATGAGATACTCGAATTACTAGAAGGAAGAATGCTCTTATGATTGGTAAGGCCTGCCTTGAACCATCTCTAACACTCTGGATTACACAGTGTTCTTAGGATCATCTCAGTAGTTCCCAAGAAGCTTAGTGGACCTGGAATTACCCTAAGGGGAAGGCAACATCACACAAGAAAGGTTTGTGTACACATGGCTATCTGGTATGTCCTCTCCCACTTCCACCTCCACACCACACTTTGCTCCCTTCCCCACTGCACACATCTCCGTCCTCAGGAAAATATTGACATATGGGAATACTATAGAACGTTCACATTTAATTTAGCTATAACGCACAGCCTTCAAACTCTCCCAATATTCTAGTGTTCCTTATAAGAAGTATAGAAGTGGGATGTGTGATAAATTGGTAGTGAGAGAAAATTCCTTCATTCTTTATGCCCCCCTAGAGGTAACCGGTGACTTTTAAAACTTTACGTTCCCTTCCACTCCAAATACATAGTCCTTCCCTCTCTTACCACTTGCACACATACTTAGCCACATAAATTCCCTCTTTACTTTTTCTTTCTCTCACATGACATCTATAAATGTGACTCTTCCTACAAACCTATGGCATAATAAATGAATAGATGCATGCAAACAAAAGGTATTGCTGTAGGCTGAATAATGGCCCCTCCACATCTTAATCTCCCAAACCGGTGAATATTAGCTTATATGTCAAAAAGGACTGCATATTGATTAAGTATCTTAAAAGGGGGAAATTTTTCTGACTATCCAAGTGGGCCTGATATAATCACAAGGGTCCTCATAAAAG